AAGATAACTGTTTTATTAAATTACTATTATGTTAAAATATGATCTTTACCTAGAGAACGTTAAAACATATACATTTAAAAACACAAGCCAAATAAAAATAGCACTGACAATTAAATATCTTATATTGACTGATGTATGAAATATAAATAAATAAATAATAATAATAATCAGGATGCACTCTTGCAAAGCTATCTTGCCACCTTTAATATCAACCACCAATCAGCAAAGATCCCCACAACAGCTTCGCCAGTTCAAAAAGTGTGTCTCTTAACACTCCAGATTGCATAACACTGACATATCCAAAAATAAAAAATACATTTCCAACAACTTCAAAACCACTACAAGAGCAACACCTTCCCCCAGAGAATCGAAAGCATGCTGCTACACGCTGACAAGACAAACTTTCCTGCATGTCTCCATATCCAAGCACCAAACATTCTCCCTTTATTTCACATGTGTTGCACCCTCCAGTGATGAAATCAGAATCAGGAGCAGGCCAGAGCTTACAGAAGGAGAGACAGGTCAATCATATACACCCTAATCTCAGAGGTTCATCCTGATAATACGTCTCAATTCTAAACATCTTCACTTTTCTCACTTGCTTTTTATTCTACCTAAAAAAAGCGCTTGGATCTGCTGATCAAACCAGGGGTACATCACAACTAAGCCAGCACAATATATTGTTTTAGCATCGACATCACCTAGGTGAGTCTGCAATAGACATCTTCTGTAATGTGGAGTCAGGATTATAGTTGACCAGGTACAATTGTGGAGCCATTTCAGGTTAACCATAAAAAGTGAAGGTTTATCAATTGTGTGTGTGTTTTAAGGCCTCTAAGCATTATTAAAGTATTAAAACATTTTATTAAACATTTTTAGCTTTACAAAAGGTTATTTGTTTTTAATTATTTTTTTAATGAAGACTTTACAGTTTTATTGTACGCTTGATTGTTTTAAAACGCTCGATTGTTCCGGTCACGCACCAGCCTACTGAAGGAAAGTTTCTTCCCTCAGACTATAAGGCTGATGAACACTTAACACACCTCACACAGACTCTTCCATATGTAGCATGCACTGCACTTTAACCAATCCATACTTAAACTGTTTTACTGTCCCAAAAAGCCTTAAAAATTGTTTTATTTCAACTCCTTTTAAACTCTTAAGGCCCAAGCTGTTTTTTTCCATGCCTTTTTTATTTCTCTTTGCTATTTGGGCTTATTGGAACCTAATTAGAATACAACTTAAGAGTCATCTTTTGATGTGATGTACTTATAGAGAAAAATGATGTCCATACATGTGGACTCGTGGTCCGAATTTACATAAAACTCAATAGTCATCTTTTTGTAATAGAATGAAAAACTCTTTATTTCTGCCTTGAACACAGCAGTTCTTTCCTGAATGTTTTTAATGCACCAATAACAGACACATATTTTTTACACATGTTTTGACTATCAGTAAAACAAAAAATTTTGCCCATTTTGGACAGTTAAAATGGTGTTTGGGACATTTCATATGCTGCAAAACAGTTGCAGGATGTTACTGTATGTCTGCAACAAAATATAAAACAAAAGAGCTAAAATGTGCCGTTCCTGTATGTGGCTACTAAGCCCTAAGAGGTTAAAGAAGTAGTTTAAACAAGCAGCAAAAGTCTTTTTTTTAGAGTGTATAGTCATAGCGCAAATGAAAAATGAAAAGCAAATGAGACTAAGGATTTCATGCTATACATACTTTCCACCTATAACTATGGCTTTCAAATGAGCTTTGTTGTTATAAATTAAACAGACGTGTGCCGGTCAGTGATATTTGTTGCCTATGAGTTCACACCAGGTCAATCTGACATTAAACTAATCCTTTATTGTCAGAAAGACCTCGATTTCAACTTCCTGAAAAACACAGATACACCGGATTGATCCAGCGGATTGAACGTTACAGGACTAATGTGTCAACTGGAGGAAAAACCTGCTGAGATACACACAACAGAGAAAGCACTTGCTCAGCATGGTTATCAAATCACTATTGGTCTAATCTAGAGGAGAATGTGTGTGATTATACATGGGGCATGTTAAAAGATCCAAATCCGTCTACTGTAAATACAAGAACCAACAACACAAGACTGATTCAAAAGACACCTGTTGAATATAATTGATACCTCGTTGCTTTATAAAACTTGAACAGCCCTAAAGTCTATTTCGAAGTCTATTAAAAATTATAATTTTCATTTACAACCAGTATCAATCAAAAAAGTACTCAAAAAAGTTTGTGTTTTGCATAGTCATGTGAAGAAAATATTTGTATTGATCATTTTAACAAAATTCAAGATGAGTCCTTTATCTTTAAACATTTTATCTTATAGGATAATACATTTCCTAGCATTCCTATAGATAGTGTTACAGTTTTTCTCAGTGGCTTTGGTGCATTTTTCACAACACTATTTACATTTGCACAACAGTTAATGCATTTCTCAAACCATTATTTGCTGCAATATTGTTTACAGTTGTGCACAGCTCTACTCAAAGAAAATGTATGTTTGTTGTAAATATAGGTATATTCATTCTTTTGCACAAAGCTGTGAATTAATTGCATACGCAGTAAAACAAGTGAAACATACATATTTAGTGTCTTGTACTCAGATACCTCACTAAATGCAGTGATGTCTAACTTTACTGTAGTTTTCAAATGGCTGTGCAAATAGTATATAGTGCTGTCTTGAGCATTTTCAGAAAGTGTCACCAAAATCTGACTTTTTTGCATTGAAAAACATTAACAGAGCAAACTCAAAATGAAAACATGACAGCCATTTAACTATCTTGATCATAAACAATGGCGTCAGCACTATTCATCTTGATAATATTGACACTTTCATTGACATCAATACTTGCTTTTGAGGAATGAGCTTTCTAATTGTACTAATTGTTTAGAGAAATGCATTACCTGTTGTGCAAATGTAAATAATGTTTTGAGAAATGCACCAAAGCCACTGATGAAAAACTAGTTTATGAGAGAGATTTGAGAGGGGTACACTCATTTAGGCTTTGCTGAGCAGTGTAGAAATATTGATTCTTTCATACAAGCAAGCTTTGTTTCATAATAACTATTTATAGATTGTATATTACATATACATAATCAATTATTAACCATTTATTACATTTTAATAAAACAATTAATTAATAATATTAATAATATAAAATAAAATGTAAGCTAAAGATGTTGCTAAAGTAAAAAAAAGTAATAAGGAAATATGTAATAAAAAATAAATAAAACTCATATTTATTGACATAATTAAATATTAAAACAAGCAATAGTCATCGCAACAGTTTAATAATTATTGAAGATTGTACTATGAAGTATATTCATAAAGATCACATCCGATAATTAATAGATAAAGATAACAGTTATATTAAAAATAAGAAATAAAGGACTGTAGTACAGTGGTCCCTCAAAGGTGCATTTTAGCATTTTAGAGGAAACATTATGGACCCTTCAGGTACAAATATGTCTGTTTTGAAAAAGTACAGCCCCAGTGACAGCTCCTGTGTCCTTTATTTTTGAAAGTGTACAAATATTACCTTTAAGGTGGCGCAGTGGATAGCATGATCGCTTCACAGCTAGAAGGTCGCTGGTTCGAGCCCCGGCTGAGTCAGTTGACATTTCTGTGTGGAGTTTGCATGTTCTACCCTTGTTAGCGTGGGTTTCCTCTGGGAAACATATCTAAAGACATGTGGTTTTGGTGAACTGAATAAGCTAAATTTGCCGTAGTGGCGACCCCTGAATAATAAAAGAACTAAGCCGAAAAGAAAATTAATGAATAATAATAATAATAATAAATCAAATCACTTTTATTGTCACATCATCAGCAGCATGTGTGCTATGATGAGTGAAAAGCTTAGGTGCTGGCTCCAGACAGTACAAAATACAAACAGTGCAATTACAACGACATGGCAAAATCCAGACAGTGCAAATACAACGACAATGTAAAATTGACAGTGATATGTACAATGAATAGGTGTCCACATAGTTGAGGATAATAATAAATATAATAATAACAATAACAACAATAACAACAATAATAATAATAATAATAATAATAAAGTCCCTTCAAATAAAGTGTCTAAATTTAAAATTGTTTAGGTATTAGTACTGAAAAGCAAAACTAGTGTAATAAATTCTGTGTATTAATTACCCCCAAAAAATTAAGGGAGGGGCTTTATTGGATTCTACACACCGGAGCCAATCAACATTAGCTACAAACGAGACTGACCCTCGACTAAACTACTTCCATAACAACATCCTCTGCTTTCAAACAAAGCTGTTGTGTGTTTAAGGTTTGTTTTGCGCAACAATAAACACTAGCTTTGGAGTTTAGCTAAACATTTTCCCGGCGAGGAGATACTTTGTAACTATTCTACGCGTCCGCGATATTTTGTAACCGATACATATTTTCCTGCTGACGTCACAGAGAGTGAGGAGAGACTTCGTAACAATTACTATTCAATCCCGTAGCCGTCTCGCGGACAATTTAAACCTGCTTCACACAGGGACAAGCTAATAAATCAGGAATGAAAGTGCGAAATGCACATGTAGTCACAGGGCTTCCTCTTGACACCGCCTGGGCTGGAGCTTAGGACGGATTCTCAACGGCTTTTACCACACAATAGAGTCCAGGTTGTCCGTGTATGTCGACTCATAAACCTTGCGATGGAAAGAGACTCTCTGCCTGCTCCCTAACACGGAATGTGTGTGTATTTCTCCTTCTTTTCCCTCCTCCTTTTCCTCCATTGCCTGCTGGCGCAACAGCGTTTCATTTGAAGAGTCACTCGTGCGCATATTGAGAAATCTCGGGTTTATTTACCTTCCCTTTAGTTTGTCCGGACACATACGGACGAATATAGCCTGTCATTATGCAATATACCGATATATCTCCATATAATCCCACACTATCAATGGGCTGTGTCCGAGCAGACTCTTCAGCTGTGGAAAAATCACTTTGAAAAGCTCCTTACCTTCTTCTACAAGAGGTTAGTCCGGTTTGGTGAGATGGCTGTGCCTGTGTGTAGTGTTGTAGATGGACCGTTATCACTTTGAGAGCTGGTAACGGAGGGGAAAGCCCTGTTTTAGAGACTTCTGTCGTTTTCTTCCTCTCTTTGCCAGATCTAAGAGCCAGGGCGCTTCAAGTGACGTAACGAACCGGGATGCGCGCGCCCGACACTGGCCTCCATGACCGCGGTATGTGCACGAGCTTATGCGAAGTGACACCATTAAGGCTGGGTGAAGTGCTGGTTATATTCTTCTAAGTTCACAGTGGTCAGCATAAAGGAGTGTACCCCTTTTGAAAATTAAGATTTCTCAATTTAAACATTTAAAAAAAAAAATTTAATTTATATTCATCAGGGTAAGAGTTAGGTCACCTCATCTTAAGGAATAGAAAGATAATACATTTAAATTAAAGAATTATTGCAAACAACAATTACAAACTACACATTTTCAACCATTTCTTTAATGTTTCTCTTGATTTTTCCTGTTTAATAAAAATATATTTATTTTTCTCCAAAATTTAAATTTTACTGTACTAATTCTAGTACTTGGCCAAGTACTAGTACTTGGACCTTACACAAATACATCCTTTAGAAAATATGAATCTAGAGAGAGACATTTGTGAGGTGTGTATATTCTGTTCATGATTTATGGTGTGAAAATTAAAAGTTATTTTATTATTTCATAAATATACACAAAATCATTTTAGAAATATTTTCATTTATTCATTTTCTTTTTGGCTTAGTCCCTTTAATAATCTGGGGTCGCCACAGCAGAATGAACCGGCAACTTATTCAGCATATGTTTTACGCAGCGGATGCCCTTCCAGCTGCAACCCATCACTGGGAAAACATATTTACATTTAAAATTTAAATATTTAATTGTATTGTTTTAAATTAAATGTTATAATAAATGTGTAATAATTGTTTTTATGTAATATACAATAATTATAATAATTTATATATATGGATATGTATGTGTGTGTGTGTGTGTGTGTGTGTGTGTGTATATATATATATATATATATATATATATACATACACACACACACACACACACACACACACACACACACACACACACACACACACACACACACACACACACACACACACACACACACACACACATACTGTACTGTTCTCCCTCCTGTGAATAATAAATGATAAATGTGAATATAGTAATTATAATAATTATAATATATTACATATACATAATTAGTAAATATTTGTTATAACATTTAGTTATATTTAATGTTCATAAAATACTTGTGTGTGTGTGTAAATGTGTATTAAATAAAAATTAACTTGAAATTTTCACACCATCAATCATATGAACAGAATCATATGCTGCTAGAAAATAATACAGGCATAAAATATTGCCAATTATTTATTTATATACTTATTTTATCTATTTGTACGTTTGTTAGATAGATAGATAGATAGATAGATAGATAGATAGATAGATAGATAGATAGATAGATAGATAGATAGATAGATAGATAGATAGATAGATAGATAGATAGATAGATAGATAGATAGATAGATAGACGGACGGACGGACGGACGGACGGACGGACGGACGGACGGACGGACGGACAAACAGACAGACAGACAGATAGATAGATAGATAGATAGATAGATAGATAGATAGATAGATAGATAGACAGACTGACACTGATTTATTTTCTCTTTGCCATGATGACAGTAAATAATATTAGACTAGATATGCTTCAAGAAACTTCTATACAGCTTAAAGTGACATGTAAATTCTTCACCAGGTTAATTAGGTAGATAGATAGATAGATAGATAGATAGATAGATAGATAGATAGATAGATAGATAGATAGATAGATAGATAGATAGATAGATAGATAGATAGATAGATATACAGACAGATAGATAGATAGATAGATAGATAGATAGATAGATAGATAGATAGATAGATAGATAGATAGATAGATAGATAGATAGATAGATAGATAGATAGATAGATAGATAGATAGATAGACAGACTGACACTGATTTATTTTCTCTTTGCCATGATGACAGTAAATAATATTAGACTAGATATGCTTCAAGAAACTTCTATACAGCTTAAAGTGACATGTAAATTCTTCACCAGGTTAATTAGGTTAACTAGGCAGGTTAGGGTAATTTGTTATTTTGTTAATTTGTTAAGTTATTTTATAACGATGGTTTGTTCTGTAGACCATTGAAAAATATACTGCTTGTAGGAGATAATTATAGTGACCTTAAAATTATAATATATATATATATATATATATATATATATATAAAACTGATTTTATTACTGCCAAAATAAAACAAATAAGACTTTATCCAGAAGAAAACAAATATTATCAGACATAATGTGAACATTCATTTACTCTGTTAAACATCATAGATAATAACACAGAGAAAACCGCAGTTTAGCGCCCCCTGTTATGTTTGAAACGGCTAACGTCATTACACATTTTAGCCAGTTCGAACACAGACCATTATCACCCTAGGTACACTAGAGGGCGCCTCTTCATCTACGTATCTACAGGTGGATGACATCAATTTATTTCTTATAGGTGGGAAATAAAACATTAAAAATGTGTAACGACATGATTGACATTTATTTGTTGTTTAGGTTATAGGTCAAAGGTCATGTGTGTGTGATAGATAGATAGATAGATAGATAGATAGATAGATAGATAGATAGATAGATAGATAGATAGATAGATAGATAGATAGATAGATAGATAGATAGATAGATAGATAGATAGATAGATAGATAGATAGATAGATAGATAGATAGATAGACAGATAGATATACAGATAGATATACAGATAGACAGACTGACACTGATTTATTTTCTCTTTGCCATGATGACAGTAAATAATATTAGACTAGATATGCTTTGAGAAACTTCTATACAGCTTAAAGTGACATGTAAATTCTTCACCAGGTTAATTAGATAGATAGATAGATAGATAGATAGATAGATAGATAGATAGATAGATAGATAGATAGATAGATAGATAGATAGATAGATAGATAGATAGATAGATAGATAGATAGATAGATATACAGATAGATAGATAGATAGATAGATAGATAGATAGATATACAGATAGATAGATAGATAGATAGATAGATAGATAGATAGATAGATAGATAGATAGATAGATAGATAGATAGATAGATAGATAGATAGATAGATAGATAGATAGATAGATAGATAGATAGATAGATAGATAGATAGATAGATAGATAGATAGATAGATAAATAGATATACAGATAGATATACAGATAGATATACAGATAGATATACAGATAGACAGACTGACACTTATTTATTTTCTCTTTGCCATGATGACAGAAAATAATATTAGACTAGATATGCTTTAAGAAACTTCTATACATCCTAAAGTGACATGTAAATTCTTCACCAGGTTAACCAGGTTAACAAAACGATGGTTTGTTCTGTAGACCATTGAAAAATATACTGCTTGTAGGAGATAATTATAGTGACCTTAAAATTATAATATATATATATATATATATATATATATATATATATATATATATATATATATTTAAAACAGCTTTTATTACTGCCAAAATAAAACAAATAAGACTTTATCCAGAAGAAAACAAATATTATCAGACATACTGTGAACATTCATTTACTCTGTTAAACATCATAGATAATAACACAGAGAAAACCGCAGTTTAGCGCCCCCTGTTATGTTTGAAACGGCTAACGTCATTACACATTTTAGCCAGTTCGAACACAGACCATTATCACCCTAGGTACACTAGAGGGCGCCTCTTCATCTACGTATCTACAGGTGGATGACATCAATTTATTTCTTATAGGTGGGAAATAAAAAATTAAAAATATGTTTAACGACATGATTGACATTTATTTGTTGTTTAGGTTATAGGTCAAAGGTCATGAGTGTGATAGATAGATAGATAGATAGATAGAAAGATAGATAGATAGACAGACAGACAGACAGACAGACAGACAGACAGACAGACAGACAGACAGACAGACAGACAGATAGATAGATAGATAGATAGATAGATAGATAGATAGATAGATAGATAGATAGATAGATAGATAGATAGATAGATAGATAGATAGATAGATAGATAGATAGATAGATAGATAGATAGATAGATAGATAGATAGATAGATAGATAGATAGATAGATAGATAGATAGATAGATAGACAGATAGATATACAGATAGATATACAGATAGACAGACTGACACTGATTTATTTTCTCTTTGCCATGATGACAGTAAATAATATTAGACTAGATATGCTTCAAGAAACTTCTATACAGCTTAAAGTGACATGTAAATTCTTCACCAGGTTAATTAGGTTAACTAGGCAGGTTAGGGTAATTTGTTATTTTGTTAATTTGGTAAGTTATTTTATAACGATGGTTTGTTCTGTAGACCATTGAAAAATATACTGCTTATAGGAGATAATTAGTGACCTTAAAATTATTTATATATTATTTATATAAATTATTTATGTATATATATATATATATATATATATATATATATATATATATATATATAGCCAAAACATTACACGTTGTATACGCAATTAATAAAAACAGTAAAGTGATTTTAATATATAGATACACACACACAAAACCCCACGCAGTTAGAAATTTGATAAATACATACACAAATAAGAAAATAAAGACTAATATGACACATAATATATTCAGTGACCACACACACAAAGTAGACAGTGGAGTCTTTTATGATAAACATTTATTGTTTGGTTACAGTCAGCATGAATATATCACACTTAAATAATGCATTAATGTTATGTGATTGCAGTTTTTCCTCTGGACGTCTATGATACATGAATGGCTTTTAATATGATATTGAGACTCTAATGTAATGCCCTCTGTGAAATAAATATGTTTTCTATATAGCTTAACAAATATCAAAAGCAGAAGGAAGTCTTTGACGATTGGCTGGACTGAAGAATGTGTCTTTATTTCATGTCCATTACTGAGACTCTGAAAGCAAATGAAAGAAACGTTCATCAGTCTAATTACACATCCGTGGTTGTTATTATGTAGCTTGCATTTTGAACATTGGTTTATATTCTCCTTACAGATTATTTACTGCTTAGGATAGAGACCTGTCTTCTGCACGCCGAACGCAGTGATGAAGATGTTGATGATGACGGTGAGAAACACCAAACCCGTGGCCACATTATTCATGATGTCCAGCTTCCTCTGATTCGCCACGTTGTTCAGGTTTTTGCGAGCTGGAAAATAGAGATTTTATCAAAAGGAATCACTAAATATAAAATATCACCCTACTAAAATTGAATTTGTTAAAATATTTGTTTGAATATTTAAAAAAATGTTAATTTAAGAAAGTTGTAATGTAAATTTGTATGAAAAAAAAAATAACTTTATTTAATTTATTGTTGAATTATATCACATTTTTGTAAGAATATTTGTTAGATTATTTAAAAAATGTTAATTTAGAATTATTTTAGGTAAAATTGTATGAAAACATTTTAATTTAATTTAATAAGTTGATTTATATCAAATGTTTGTTAGAATATTTGTTAGGATATTAAAAAAAAGTTAATTTAAGAAAGATTTAGGGTAAAATTGTAGAAAAATAAATATTTTTCATTAAATTTTAATTTAATAAATAAATAAATTAACAAGTATCGCAAATGATTTAAATAAAATAAAAGTTAAAAATGTATACATAATAAAAATGTAATTATATATATATATATATATATATATATATATATATATATATATATTGTTTATTTTAACATGAATAATATTGAATTATATCACAAAATGAATACATAAAATAAAAAATTAACTATAAAAATTAGATAAATATTTTATTACATTTGTCTGCTATAATAACACGCTTTTAACAAAGCACACACTTATTTATGGTAAATAAATACCAGCTTCCTACCTCAGCTTCATATTTATTCATTAAATATTATTGTTAATTTGAGGTTTTATAAAATCAAATCATTATGTTAAAGTAAGCATTTAATATACTTAAAAAAATCATTTCCTTCTGCTTCCATGATCAGCATTAAATTTATGGTACACATTTGAATATGATTTATTATGTCACATCACTGAAATGGTCATTCTAAAATGTATGTAAATCATTTGACTCTGCATGATAGATCTGGCGTTTACCCATGTTGACGAAGAGGGCGCCGGCGAGCACCTGGAAGAAGAGTGAAGCGCCGATGAGGATGATGACGGTAAGGTAATATCTGAATTCTGGGCCCTGCTCCAGTACGGCCTTCAGCTGAGACGCATTGGCCATCAGCAGAGCCACGTCCAGCATACTCTCCGCCACACTCTTCTTAGTGGCGTAATGATTCATGTTCAGAGGCTCTGTTGGCTGAGAGAGAAAGAAAATCCATTTAAAACTATAATAAAATACCTGATTCAATTCATTGGTATTTGTCACACTTTACAGTGAGGTTTCATTAGTTAATGTACTAACTTGAACTAATGATGAGCAATACTTGTAGAGCATTTATTAATCATGGTTCAACATTTACTAATGCATTATTAACATCCAAACTCGTGCTTTTTGACATCAGTTAATGCACCTTGTTAACATGAACTAACAATAAATGACTTTATTTTCATCGACAAACAATAACTAAGTGGGGTGGCACAATGACTCAATGGTTAGCACTGTCGCCTCACAGCAAGAAGGTTGCTGAGTCCCAGCTGGGCCAGTTGGCATTTCTGTGTGGAGTTTGCATGTTCTCCCCTTGTTGATGTGGGTTTCCTTCGGGTGCTCCAATTTCCCCCACAGTACAAAGACATGCACTATAGATGAATTGGATAAACTAAATTAGTTGTAGTGTATGTGTGTGGGTGTTTCCCAGCACTGGGTTGCAGCTGGAAGGGTATCCGCCCCGTGAAAACATATGCTGGAATAGTTGATGGTTCATTCCCCTGATAAATAAGGGATTAAGCCAAAGGAAAATGAATGATCGATGTGTTGTTCATTGCTTGTTCGCGTTAGTAGATGCATTAACATAAACTAATACAAGCTGCTTATTGTAAAGTGTTACTATTGTATTTAATAAAATTAATCATAACTAACATGTTTTAAAAAAGATTTTATATAAATTAAATAAAAAATGTAATATTTTAATGTAAACATTTTTTTTATTTTAAAAATTGTATTATACAAAATGTGGCGAGGCAGTGGCGCAGTAGGTAGTGCTGTCGCCTCACAGCAAGAAGGTCGCTGGGTCGCTGGTTCGAGCCTCGGCTCAGTTGGTGTTTCTGTTTGGAGTTTGCATGTTCTCCCTGTGTTGGTGTGGGTTTTCTCCGGATGCTCCGGTTTCCCCCACAGTCCAAAGACATGCGGTACAGGTGAATTGGGTAGGTTAAATTGTCTGTAGTGTATGAGTGTGTGTGAATGAGTGTGTGGATGAGTTTTTGTTTTATTTCTAGTCCAGACATCCAAACATTTTTATAGCGAGAAGCATTTTCTAGAAAAGTAAAAAAAAATAGTGTCTGAGACGAGCAAAATCATTTGCCAATAGGGTAAGCAAAATAATCTAGTTTTCAGTTTGAAATAAGATTATTTTTCTTACACCAGTGGCAGATTATTTTTGTTGTTTTAAGAAAATAACTCGCTTAATTTTGACATATTATTTCTGATAATATTTACTTTATATTTTCTTGTCTAGAAATTTCTTGTCTCTTTATTTTGATGGTCCCTATTGCACATTTTGTTGACTAATATTGCATTGCAACTGCATGCCAATTACATCTCATTTGAGTATTAGTAGACTGTCTGCTTAATATCTGCCAACACTGCTTCTTCAACAGACATTTAATTGACTATCAGAAACTTTGCAAATACATGGAAACGTACACTAACCCCATAAGCTCAACCTTACAGTCTACTACTAATCTGTTGAGAATTAGTTAACATTTAGATGCAATGTAACTTCAATTCAGGAAAAGAGACCATCAAAATAAAGTGTGACCAAATTGTTCTTTTTTTTTTTTTTTTTTTGATGTTTGGACTAGAAACAGGACAAAACCTCTTAGTAAGAAAAGCATTTTTATTAATAGTTTATTACATACAGTAGGCATCACGGTAGCGCAGTGGGTGGGAAGATTGCATCACAGCAAGAAAGTCGCTGAGTCCCGGCTGGACCAATTGGCTTTTCTGTGTGGAGTTTGCATGTTCTCCATGTGTTCGTGTGGGTTTCCTCCGGGTGCTCTGGCTTCCCCCACAGTCCAAGGACATGCGGTATAGATGAATTGAATAAGCTAAATTAGTGTGACTGTGAATGCAAGAGTGTATGGATGTTTCCCAGCTGAAAGGGCATCCGCTGTGTAAAACATATGCTGGATAAGTTGGCGGTTCATTCCACTGTGGCAACCCCTTATTTATAAAGGGACTAAGCTGAAAAGAAAATGACTTTTACATATTAAGATGTCACTTATTCCTGTGATTCTGTGCTGAATATTCAGCATTACTCCAGTCTTCAGTTTCACACGTTCCTTCAGAAATCATTCTATGTAGATTTGCTGCTCAATATGCTGATTTAAGCACATGATGTCACTGAAGAAAAAAAGAGGCCATCTTCCCTCATCTTTAAGAGAAGTATCAGCAGCTTCCAGCAACATCTGTACCGTGTGAGATAAGATCCTTCAAAGCGAGGGAACTTCTCAGTGCAGATGGGGAAAAATGCTAACTGAATGCCTTTAAATGTCAAAAACACTGAGCACATTTTGTCCAGAGTTTGCTCTCATCAAACACCCTAGTCAAATGTTTTATTTTTCAACAATAACAAAAATAATAAGGCCACACAGATTATTTAAAGCACAAGTACTACACATGCATGTCTGTTTAAAGCATTTTAGCATGCATGTGTATTATTATGTGTATCCTGATAATTAAAATAAATAATATTTTAAGATTTTATAATTGATATTAAAAATATCTTAAAATAAAAATACAAAAATACATACAGCTATATAAAGGTGTTTATGTTTCATATAGATATTTGATGTTTGTGAAGGCCAGCGTATGATCCAGGGCTGTTTTATGACAGGCGCCGTAAAACTATATGAATATTTTAAGGTTAGTTGTTAAAAGAAGGCACTAATAATGCACAAACGAGTCATGAAATGAACGCTGTAGTTACAGATTTTTACCGATAGATGGCTGCATTTCTCTATGAATTTTGCAAACATTAGCATTCATTTATGGAAACAACTTGAGGGCGCTAGAGATCGTTATATTATCTTTTTCACCATTGCACAGCAGTGTTCATGTTTAGAATTTAACACTAAACTTGGCTACATTTTAGCCTTATTACTGTAATAATATAACTGTAATTGCATTTAACAATTAATTACACTTTCAGTTACTGCAAAATTAGTATAATTATTATTATTATTGTTGTTGATTGTGTTTGCTTATTTATTTATTATTATTATTATTATTATTATTATTATTATTATTATTATTATTATTATTATTATTATTATTATTATTATTATCATCATCATCATCATCATCATTATTTCTACTATTGCTACTACAACTACTTGTAATTTATCATAATAATTAACTTTAATTGTGGAATAATAATAATAAACATTTATAATAATAATAATAAGTTTATAATAAAATATTTTTATTAATAATAATATTTTCTATAATAATAATTGTAATAATTTTATAAGAATAATATTTATTATTATTATAACATTGTAATTTAATTATTATTAAATTATAATTATAAAATTAATATTATTATTATTTAAATTAATATTATTATTATTATTACTACTACTATTATTATTATTATTAAATTATTATTTTTATTTATTATTATTATTATTAGTAGTAGTAGTAGTAGTAGTAGTATTAAACATTTTAATTATTAATAAAGTTAATAATTGTGATAAATTAGCAGTAGTTGTGTAGCAATAGTAGTCATTTGAAATAATGATTATAATAATTTAAAAATTATAATAATAAAAATTATATAATATTATAAGATATAAAAAGATATATTATATAATTTAGTAATAACTTAAGTACTTAAGTATTGTAAATATAACTATTTTAGTATAAATACTAGCAGTATTAAATAATAATAATAATGATAGCGATAATAATATAAATTTATCAAGAAAACATAGCATTACAATAAGCATTAATTCAATACTAGTTATATTCTTATATTATTCAGCCTTCTAATAATAAATAAATGTTATATACATTGATGTTACATGTAGATTTTTATTCTTAACCATTGTAGGAAGTACTTTTGCTCATATCATAGTTGTTATCTATCAAGTGCGAACTTTCTGTGTTCACATTTTGATCACAGCTCTCATAACATGTCTTTGTCACTGTCTACAAGACCCGTTAGAGACATGTTGATTGAGAGAGACTGCATCTACATATGTGACCGTATGGCTATAAGATCAATAGTGTAAAACTCTTGCAGACGTCTTATTGAAACTCTATACATCAGGACAAAGTGTTCAATGTTCAACCATCCTGCCCCTCAATACAAGCACGCTTCATACATGTGACATGTTTTCTAGACAGTCCTGTCAGCCAATCAGAGCGCAGTAACACAGAGAGCAGGCACACATCCAAATCCCACACGCACAGGCTCAGTGTTTTCCTTAATGACGGGGAGCGTTTTCCTTTTTTCCTCTTCAAATAAACATGACGGTGGAGGTCAGGAGTGTTTCACTGGCCCACAGGAAGTCCACCTCCCTCACTCTCATTGGCTGCTCTCTGGGCCAATGGCGAATGGGGACGAGCAAGGAGGTTCGCTCAAACAAATGACTGCTTTTTTATGTTCAACGTCTTCTTACTGTTTTCTGGGCGACCACATCTCATAACATGTGCAGATGAGGAGGGGGAGGGGTGTCCGGGTAAACATTCAAACCACCTATAGAAATTTAAAGTCCTTACAGTGATGCCATAGAAACTCTGGGTTCTTTACATGATACCTCTTTAAGGATTTACTCTCTCTCTCTTCTCAATCCAAACCTGAGCTTCTTTCTTATACAATGAACACAAAGAAAGATATATGAAAGAAGATTCAAAACTGGGAGCTATTGCCTTCAGTGGTATTTCCACTATGCATCAATGTCAATGGTTACAGGTTTTAAACATTCTTCAAACTGTCTTCTTTCGTGTTCACCCAATGTCTGCAACCACAGTTGTTGTTTGTTTTTGTTCTTTGGTATTATATACTTTTACAGTTCTTAGTGGAACTTTACTTACCTACTCACAGGGCTTTTTATGTATCGAAGTTGATATTTAGCTGCACCATGTTGGTGTTTCACAACATCTAGTTTTTACAATTTGGGTCATTAACCCAACGC